CCGGTGGGAGACGAACTGTGGGTGTTTCTCAATCGCGAGTACGCTTGCCTTGTAGCACATGTCTGCCGAGCATTCTTGCTTCAGAAGCGAGGCAAGGGGTGTTTCCTCAATCGCGAGTACGCTTGCTTGGTTAGCACATGTCTGCCGAGCATCTTGCTTCAGAAGCGAGTCAAGAATACTTCCTGACATTCGGAAAACGAAGTGTGGAACACGCTAGCAAGTGTGCAGGTGTGCGTCCATATGAGAGGCCCCCGCCTTACATTTTCCGCCACAGATTTTGGAAATTGGTCCGTGCGCAAAGCATTGTGGGGATTTTAAGACCGCGGAGTCTACTCATGTGCAGCCTCGATATTTCTCCAAACGGAGTACGCCGGGCTCGGTAGATTTCCAAGTATGCTGGAGATTGGAACAGTACTTCGGCGGCACTCGATGACGTAGTATGCTTGAAATAGTGGCTCTGAAGCAGCTTTACTCGCGATTGAGAAAACACCCAACAATACTTCCTGCCATTCGGAAAACAAAGAGCCGTACTTCGGCGGCACTCGATGGCGTAGTATGCTTGAAATAGTGGCTCTGAAGCAGCTTTACTCGCGATTGAGAAACACCCCCAGGGTGTTTATTTAAGAGTCATAAAACTTGCCGTTAGTGGGGCACGTTAGAACGTACGTTCTAGTTCATTGTCATTTGTTTGTTTGATGTCCTCAAGCTAAAGCAACATGATTGTTGATTTATGTAGATTGATAAAAACGGGTTGAATGCTGCTAAAAATGCAGTCTATTATATTTGCATTTCATATGAGACTGCATAAATTAAAACTGTTTAAAACCTAATTCATAAAATACACTAAGAAAGTCAAAACAATATTCACAAGTGTTAAAAAATATATGTAAAGCATGTATTTTTGCATTTATTATTTTATGTGCATTGTATTTTCACTAATTATTTTTCATTTAAGGTTTTTCACCTTACCAACCTTACTACCTACATATGCTGTACTGCAACAACAAAAACTAAGTAAAGAAGAACTCAAAAGGAAAACAAAGTTGTGGTTCATTGTACGAGTGAAACCCAGTTAAAACCTCCTATGGACTGTACCATCCCTTTCAAGCGGGGAAACTGCAAATATACTGAAGAGCTTGACAGTTATCGATTCAACAGGATACAGAGAGATAGTAGGTAGCTTGATATACATTATGACATGTACTAGACCTGATCTGAGCTGGATTGTGAGTAACTATCACAACACTTAGCAGAACCAAAACAACTGTTGAGGTATCTAAAGGGTACTATAGACCAAGAGCTACATTACAAGAAAAGTGAGGAAAGCCTAAAGGCCGCTACACACCCACCTGAGACCAAAGAACGCGTTACCGAATGCGTCCCGACTTTTCCCGACTTTTACGTCAGCTACGTCGCCTGCGTCGGCTACGCCGCCCGCCTACGCCGCCCCGCCTACGAACACACCGCAAATACTTCAGTCGACGAGTGGCAATAACTGTCCTTACCAGCCGGCAGCGGTATAGTGTGAACAGCCAATCAGAGTGATTGCTTGTCCCGACTTTCTCTGAGGCGTCGGGAGGTGTGAAAAGGTGCCGTAAAGAGACAACGGTGCGGGACACAAACCTGAGTAGGGCGCCGCAAATGCCCGACGGCCTCTGACGGCCTCTGACTCCCAAAATTGGGCTGGTGTGTCCGGGCCTTAAAGCTTGAGGGATACAGTGATGCTGATTGGGCAGCCGATTCAAAATGATAGGAGAAGCACAACTGGATATTGTTTCAGCTTAACTGAAAATGGTCCAGTATATAAAAAGTAAAAGCAGAAAAGTAGGAAGCAGCCAACAGTGGCGCTATCGACCTGTGAAGGCATTAGCGGCTACTACTCAAGAGAGCATGTACCTTTTTACAGTTATTAAAAGGGGTAGACCGTAATAGCCCACATGTAAAGATATATGAGGACAACCAGGGAGCAATAGCTCTATCCAAAAACCCTGTATCCAGACAGAGAAGCAAGCATGTAGACATCAAATACCATTTTGTACGATCTGCACATGCTGAGGGGAAGATATATATTACATATTGTCCTACTGCAGATATGGTAGCTGATGTCCTAACCAAGCCGTTGACAAAGGCTAAATGTGACAAGTTCAGAGGGTATTTGTTTGGAGAGTAATATGAATTGCAGGTGTAAAATTGAACCACTGCTAGAGAGTTTTTTTTTTGGTTTATTTGGATTCTGTGTACCACTGTAGAGAGTTATCAACATGTCTTTGAGTGGGGAGTGTTAAGCATATTTGTATAAGAACACAGTCATGTTTCAGTTCATGTTGTATATGACATCATCAGAATGTGCCTGAGTGTGAAAGAAACGTGGTGATGCTAATGAGCATGCGCAGATGCAATAAATGGTCAGTTCTCCAGGCCAAACTCAGTGCGATGTGGTCGTGTGTTTTTTCTGTCCCTTACAACTAGTAAGATGATGCTTACAAAGTACTTTGGTTGACTGCAAACGTGGAGACTTCTGCTGAATATAATGTCACGCAACAGGCTGTATTTGTACAATCAGACTGCCCATTTACATCAACTTAAGACATCTGTATATGTTCTTTAAGCTTTTGTTATTTCTATTCATTCTTTTAATGCATGCTAATTATTTTTGCTTTTATAAATTGTATCTTTATATCCCTGTGTTTATTCTCATGTGTACTACCTGTGTTTCTCTCTCTTTTTCTATTACTGCTATAACACCTGAATGTCCCTACAGGGATCAATAAAGGTCCATCTTATCTTATCTTATCTAAGTATCTTTACTGTTAAAACACTTTGTATCACTAACACCTGAAGTCATCATGGGGTACTTTTTTGCTGCTATGGTAATTAAAGATTCAATTCAAGATTCAAAGGCTTTATCATCATAGTAGCTACAGTGTAGATATGGCAATTAAAAAGTGAAGTCCCGAGCTCCTCCTACAATGCAACATAAAATATATAGGACATAAAACAAACAAAAAAAACGGCATTAAAAAATAAAAAGAGTGCAAGAAGAAACAAAGTAGAATGAAAATAGTGCAGATTATATTGCACACCAATGTGCAGCAATGCAGATGAAGTAACACTACATGTCACAACAACAACCAAAAATACAATAAACTAAATCATGCAGAGAATGTTGTTAGTGACCAAGATATGGTGATGGGTTGATGGGACCAGCAGGTGGCAGGATGATGCAGGAAGCCCAGAGAGACTGAGCTCACCCCGGGTACAGCCCTATGGTACAGCCTCATGGTGGTCCTCTCAGCTGGGCCTCATCACTGTCAGTCATCATCAGTGACTCTCATGCTGGACTCAGTTCTCCCAGGAGGGGGGCAGACATCTGGCCCTGCTGTCTGCAGGCTGGAGCCCTCTGACCCACCCTTCATCACTAAACCTCATCATGTAGTCTGCACACGCTCAAATACACCACAGGCTGCTGTGTACTTGTATATAGTTTGTATAGTTTGAGTGCCACAGTGACGCGTCCTAAAACCCGGAAGTAAGCTGCGCATGGGTTCGTTCCTTCGACAAAAAAGCAATGCAATTTCTCCATAGGATTTTGGAAAATAGCTCGAAATAACGTCTGTGGTTGACACACATTTAAGAGACGGATCACGTTTTGTTCAGTCGGATAATCTCCACATTTCGAATCATAAATCTATCGATCATAAATCTATCGATTAGATTTATGATTCGTTAAATAAGGTCTGTGTCAACCACAGACCTTATTTCGAGCTATTTTCCAAGATCATATGGAGAAATTGCGCAGCTTACTTCCGGGTTTTAGGACGCGTCACTGTGGCACTCTATTTAAGTGTATAGTAGCCACAGTCATGTGTTTTTGGCCTACCTATACCATATTCAATATGTATAATAAAACTACATATTGCAATGTTTCATGTAGCACAATGCTGTACAATGTTGTACTGTGTGGAGGCTTGTTTTTCAAAGGAATTGACCCTCAGGGACAAATCCAATGAATTGTGACGAAATTATTGAAACACAATTGGTGAATTTTAATACCTCTGCACTGAGCAAGATACACAATTTAGCCCATGTAAAACCGGAAGTGTGGTGTTTTGACTTCAGATTAAAACAGTGAGTTGTCTAATTTTTCTCTTTTATTTATTTGCATTTGATATTGAGGTAGTCCATAAATTAAAGAAAGTAATCAGGTTACATTACTTTTATATTTTGATGCTCAGATTAGGTAACTGATTTTTGTTTGTACAGGTAACTAGTGATTGCAACAGGATATATTTGTAAAGGAACTCTCCCAATCCTGCAGATAACCTGTAAACATCTGTTTTGTAATGACATATATTAACCAAATATTTGTAATATTTGGAAATGAATGGACCTGACAGTATTTGTACAATCAGAATGTTACATGATCCTAACGATCTAATAGAATAGATGCACACCAACATGTCCTTTAATGTTCACACAGATCATACGCTGGCAGCAGAACTGACACTTCATTCTCTCCTTTTCTCTATAGTTTCCAATGTGGATAAACAAATACAATGACATTAATAGCCATTCAGTGCAGCAAAAAAGGAAAATTAAGTATGCTAAGACTGTACACATTTGAATAATAATAATAATTATAATATAATAAATGTTTTCTTATTAGTTATTCTTCAAACTATTATTATTATGATTTTTTTTTTTATTTATTCATTTTATAGGTTTCAATATTATTTTGTATTTATACATTTTGTCTTATGTCTTCCTTTTTTTAATCGAGAGGGATCATTATTAATTTTATTGTATTTTATTATTCTTATCACACCTTTTACCTCCCTGTGTCCCTTGTACTGTTATATTATGTGCTATACAAATAAAGCTTTATTATGGTATTTTTGCTTTTTGCATATGTATAAACAGCTGTGTTTTCCTCTGCTGTCATTCCGCTCACAGCTTTATTTTGAAAGTCCCTACCGGAAGCTGTGTGTGTGTGGTGTCTGCCTTCACAGCGGGCCTCGTTCCTCTGACCATTCGCAGGAGAAGGTGAATCCAGCGTCTGGGGCTCTCCTCTGTTTGTCTGCTGCCAACCTGATCGACGAGCATCACCAACGCCCATAAAGTAGCACTCTCCAGGAACTAAAGCTCGCTGCTAGAAGCCCCGCTGCCCCTCCGCACCCCCCGCCGGCTCCGTTGTTCAGTGCAGTGGTCGTGATTTGGACCGGAGCCTTTGTAACCGTTATCAGCTTTAGTCCTCTCATGTATCACATGTACTGTACAAGTTAGCGACTTCTTATCACTGTGCGGCTAGTCTCCCTCTTTGGACTGATTCACTGCGACTGTTTGACTTCTACACGAAAAATGGCAACCCAGATCGATAAAGAGGCTTGCAGAGAGGCTTAACAACCAGGTCCGAGACGATAACACGGACACCAACTGGTGAGTGTGCGGACATACTTTATCATACTCTAATACAACATAAACCTACTGTTTTTTTATATGCATATTTGCTAAATTAATCTTTATTTTTATTGTAATAATTACGTAATAGCCACATATTTACGTCAGAGACAAATGAACCACTCAATATGTCAGTTTTCTATGAAATCTGAGTTAAATGTTAATTCCCTCAGCCTGTTACCGCCCACTGCGCCCTCTTTTCCGTGGCGAAGGCTGCGAAAATGAGAGGCGGACCTTTTATAAAACCTTAAATTACATCTAAATATACACACTTTGGCTAACAAGATACTAGCCGAATGGAAGACAGATACATAAAGATATAGAACATGTGAATAACTGTATTTATGCCCACATTAGCTTGTGCATTTAACCAAAGTCATTTTAATTGCTTGATGTTTGACCGTAGTTCGCCCCCGCTCAGTCTGAATAAGACATTAGGGGGTTTGCCAGCAGCTCAAAGCCTTGGGGAATGGTTGCACACGGATACACGAAACCCCGATTCCAGTGTTGGTTCCTCCAACAATACTGGTGTGAAAAAATGCAGCCTTCCTCCGGCCTCCTGGTTTGATGTATTCTATAATCTGTATTCCGGCTCTTTAGCGGTCACACATGCACAGTTATCAGGCCCAGCGGGGCAGAAAGTAATTTCCTTTGTCCTGTATTCAGAGGATAACGTTATAGTAGTGACAACACACATGGCATGGCTGACACGACAGCTCCACCATTGCATGGGGTCTTGTGTTTTCTGTGCATGTGCATTCTGCAAAATGGGCCTCATGCGCACATATTGCCCATGGCCGTGAATCAACAGATAATAAGACATGAGAATGCATGGAGTGATTAATAACGCATGGTGTTCTGCATCTTTCCAGGGCTTGTGTTAAATATGAGGGCTTCCATGATCCTACCTGGAGGAACAGGGGCGGACTATGAGGACTTCAGGGGCTTGTGCACAGGTAAAGAATATATGTCATTGTAATAACAACACATTAGTGGTTAGCTGGTGTGTAATTTCATTTAATTTAATTTCAAACCTTTATTTAACCAGATTGGTCCCATTGAGGATCATAGATCTCTTTTTCAAGGGAGACCTGCAGCATATAGGTTCCACATGAAACATAAAACAATAAAGGACATCATACATTATATTTACAGGTACATTAACAATAGTTAATACTTTACATAGTTAATGTGTGTGTAGAAGGTCCACCGTAGGTTCTGCAGCCTATATTCACTCAGCTTGACTTGCAGCAGGACACTAATCTCTTAAGACTCTGTGCTCAGTCACCATTGGCCTTGAGCCGTGTTACTACACTGTCAACGCACTTGCTACTGTATGCATTGCATAATCTGTTTTACAATATCCTGTGCATGCTTTTATCAAGGTAAAACATTTAAGGTCAGTGTTTTGTACAGCAGCGCAGAAATATTTTGTGACTATGGGAAGCATTAGAGCCTCACTTTCTACTTCTAGTCCTCCAACTATTTATCATTTATTCAGGTTTAATGTGTACTGTTACTGCCTTTGAATAAATAAAAAGAGGGAGGTAGGAGCGGGGCGATTTGGATTTGAGCGACCTACGACCGACCGATCGATCGAGCACGATGTAGGAATCGAGCCAGCAGCCATCCCGCCAGCCAGCAGCCAGGCCAGCCAGCCAGCCCGCGCGCGCGCGCGGTCGCGCGCGCGCTCTCTCGCGCGATCGATCTATCGAGCTAGCGAGGATCTAGCGACAGCCAGCCATCCATCCATCCCTCTCTCTCTCTCTCTCTTCTCTCTCTCTCTCTCTCTCTCTCTCTCTTCTCCTCTCTCTCTATATCTACTATCTATCTATCTATCTATCTTGTATCAACACAAGAAACAACTATGTACTTTCAGAAACTGATTCCCAAGAATAACTGCTAGCTGCCCCCCTCTCCCTGTGAGTTGGAGAGAGGCTGGGTGTGAGTTGGAGAGAGGCTGGGTGTGGCCGGGTGTTTAAAGCCTGCCGCCTCAGGGCTTTACTCCTTCTTTTCTTCCTGATATTTCAGAGCTCACATTCCTGTGTTGAAGTAAGTCATTTCCAGCAGGCTTTACAGCCGTTCAGCTGGTGCATTTGCCCATTGGTTCCTGTTCAGAGATGACACACACATCATCACACTTCTTCCTGTCAGTGGGCTTGTTTTCCTTATTTAGCAATGAAGTTGTAACTCTGCAGAAAAGAGTAGGAGGGGCCGATGCAGACGGCTCCCTTTGAACACTGATCTGAGAGCGATCCAGCTGCAGGAAGTAGAAATAGATGACGTCTGTGGATCAATGCAAGACGATACTGCATACAGGAGGAGGCTTTCCAGTAAACATTTACAACTTATCTCATTTGCCACAAAGACTTAAAAACCCAATTGGTGCCTAAATCTTTACTCTGCCATATTGGTGGCGTGGCTCGAGGGGTGGCAATGGCAGTGTTAGTCATTCCAAAGTGGAATTCCCCAACACATAATGGTTGGATTGCCATGATTGGGAATGATTTTGATGACTGTTCCTCTAGCACCACTAGCAGCAACTTTTATCAAGTGGATGGATTGGAGCAGAATTGTTTGCATCCAATCATAATCCCCAGAAGATGAATCTCCTCCTCCAGTATATATAAGGTTGTCATTCTGATTCTGACACGGTGGCACTATGGGGCGCGGCATCCGATCTGAAATCAGAGGCTTCAGATTCATCACATTCTGTTGACTGGCTTCAGATGGCTTTGGGGATTTAAGGCTCTAAAGGAGGTTTTCATACAACACCAATCAGCTGTGTACAACAGAACTGTAGGATATAACAGATGGTTCTGAGAAAGCCTAAGACCCAGTTTACACAAATATTCGGACTGAATTTGTGCCGACTCAGTGATCCTCCCAGCTGTTTGCGCTTTTGTTACAGCAGAAGGGTTTAACCCCCCCCCCCCCCGGTGGATCCAATCTTCTTGTAAATCTGACTAGGAGATAATATTTTGGGTGTAAAGGTTATTCTACTGAGGGCAGCTTTGCTGAAAATAGAAAGTGTCTATCCACTGGGAAGCACGAGTAGGCTCAATAACTTTCATTATAATCTGTCTGTTGTAAATGTAGATTTTTGTGTACAATAGGAAAAGTCAGAGTGACACCCAAATGAGGAGAAGTCATTCTGTGAAGGCCCATACATATTTATAGCAGATTTAAGGGAAATAATGCGTTCATATATTTAGTCAAGAACCAAAGAGGAAATTTTTGGGAAAGGGGAACATTTGATTTAATGTTGCTCTACATTAGAGCTAAAACAATGAGTCAACCAACTAATCATTTCAGTTTTTTTCTAGCAAAAACAAATATTCCAGGCTATCTAATGACAGGATGTGCTGCTTTTCTTTTTGAGTATCATTAAATCAAATTTGTTCTTGGTTTTGTGAAATACAACAAGATACTTAACCACTTTCATTGGGATGTGGACAATTCTGATGAGCATTTAGCTATTTCCCATTTAGGTCTACCCTAGATAATAACTGGGTGTCGCCAAGATGATTAGGAGTCTTCCTTTGGGGATCCATACCGGAGGAAACGGTTAGCTGATTGGCATCAGCGTCCTCAGCGCTGCTGTTAGCGAAGATAAAACCAGGACCAAAGTGTCTCAGTTAACATGTTGGAACAGCACTCCTGGCCAAACCCACCTGACACTGTCCACAGGAGACAGCTCTGGTTTCCAGGCTGTTCCGCAGAGGGACTGAACAGGAAGATACGGTGTCACCGCCTCCTCTGCTCTGCCAAAATCAAGTCAATTTATGCAGAGCAACGCGTCTCTCAACAAGTCTTTTTGCTGTCTCATCATTGCTGAGTTTCAGGGCACATTTCTCTGCAGACACCCCCCTCCCTTGCACTAAAACTAACTGCTGTGTCAGCATGGCTTTAAAGGGAAGACAAACCAGAAAAGGAGGAAGTGTGTGTGTGTCGGGGGGGGTCCAAGTGTGGCTGAGGGTATGTGTTCTTTCTGGCCTAGAACAGCGACAATGACATATAAGGCAAAGGGGGGTGGTTCACCTTGAGTGTTACAGCATTTACTTGTTGAATCGTGTGTGTGTGTGTGTGTGTGTGTGTGTGTGTGTGTGTGTGTGTGTGTGTATGTGTGTAAAGGTGTTAAAACTTGCTATGTCCTCTGTGTGTGCAGCGATAAGGCTGCTAAGTGTTTCTCGTGGCTACTTCTGTTAATGTGCGGCTGCTCTGATCTGAGAACAGTGCTGCTGTGTCTCTGCCAATGAAGTGTTAATCAGCTGCTTGAACAGTTACATACAGATAATAAAGGTTTCACTGTAATAACTCCCAATGGCCTTCAGTAGAATCAGCCTGTTACTTCCTTCAGAGCCATTCTGAACATATCATTCTAAATGCCAGGACCATCATTATTATCAAATGGAAGTGATTGTTATAATGCCGGAAAGAATTCACTGAGAATGGGTTGCGGCCGCTGATTGCATCATAAATTGTGCATTAATTGCGATTGCTATATGCCATGTCTGAGGGTCGGAAACATAAAAGAAGATGCACTAATGATATAACAAAGCAAACAAAGCCATAACGTTGTAGCTGAGTGCAATTTGCTCTTTTTATGTCTGATTGTAATTGTACACGTACACGTACACGTACAAGTACACATACACGTACACGTACACGTACCAAGAACACATTTGGCAGAAGGAAAGCAGAGAGAAAAAGAAAAGGGACATTTTCACGGGCGAGCGAGAGGTCCTGACTTCAATGGTTCAGAGGAATTGTTCCAAAACCTCATGCAAGAATTTAAATATAACATAGGGAAATACTTGTATTCTTTGTTTTAAAATTGCAGTAAAATGGATGTGAGATCGTTTATGGTTTTATGGTTTATGTCTGTATCTTGACATAAAGAGCCAAACATTAGCAGCGTAACGGTGTTGCCGTGAAGTGATGCTGGGCAGGTGCCATTGGATGTTGGTGGAGGAAACCAGTGCGATGTTAACTGAGGCAGTCATACGTCAGTACGTCAGTACGTCAGACCTGAACCACTTTATTTCTGTGTAACGCAGTATTTGAGCGGTTTACAGTATCAACAAAGCAGAGCTAGAAACAGAGCTACAGAGGACAGTGACACACTTTTTCCACTTTCTAAAGTTAGAAATCATGGTTGAAACTGGCAGTTAGTCATAATGCATCTCTCTTTAGACCTTCCCTGACATGGGCAGGAAGGTCTAAAGAGAGATGCATTATGGGAGGTAACAGATCCAGGGCTGCTTCCATTCTCTCTGAGGAAACATGTGAAATGGTACAATCCCATGTGACAGATCAACGTTCTATTCATTTCATGTACAGTAATGTGTCTTCATGAGTAGCCTACATTTGAAACTGACTGTCTGACACCTCTTGTGCGTGCATTTAGAAAATGATTCTTGCAAAGCTTTGTGAGCTGTGTGGGCTTTTTAGTTTAACCACAAAAATCAACACTTCCTCTGGAATCCCCCTACCATGGCACTTTAAATTGCTGATGAATTTGTATTCAATAGCCATGAATCTTGGTTTAGGTACTGTTCTCCCTCGTGCAGGTTTTTTATTAACAAGAGTCTGGCATACAGGAAATGTATCATTTTGACTAAGACTATCTGGTTTCAACCATGCTACGTCAGCAGTCAGTGTACAGACACATATCTGGGATTTCTGCCTGCTAATAGGACCGCTTTTAGATCATGTGAGGACAAAGGCAGCACCACAAGAGAGGGTCTTTGATTTAGAAGACATCATTAACCATTTGAAGAGAGCAGTTGTGCACCACTGCTTTCTTTGTGCTAAATTAGCATTAAGGTAGCAGAAGAAGATGACTTGAATTGTCAATCTGTTGTTAGGACTAACATACAGAAATATTTTGTTGGCAATTTCTTTGCCAGTATTATAGATTGTTGGCTTCACAACGATAGATAAGCCAGCTTTACGATACTACATAATGTCAGAAAGTGCACTTTTATCAGCATTGGCTTGATATGAAACACTCAGAGCTGTGGTCTAGTGTTATTAGGGTTGCAACATTACGGGAATTTTCAAAGATGGAAACTTTCCATGGGAATTTATGGGAATAATCAGGAATAAACTGGGAATTTTCAAAATGGAAGGTTGGCTCTTCATAGGGAACTTAGTTGGGGAAAGTATATTTGAGCATAATCTTGACTAAACAAACAGATGCCATTCAAGTACACTTGAATATCCATGCCATTCCTCAATCACATGCACATACTGTAGCACACTGCTTACTGCATGGCTATTGAGACCACACCCCCTACAGGCACTGTGCATTCCTCCATCACATGCACACATGATTTCTGCATTTTTGTTCATTTTTGAATGAGTGGTGTTGGGGGGATGAGTCATATTTAACTCAGCATCCATGTTTTTGTTCTTCAATGAAACAAATGATTGTTCAATAAAATAATTAAAACTTGTTCTGTTGTACTTACAAATAAATCTGTTGAAATGTCATGTTTTTTAATTGTATCTTTTTGCATGGATATTATGACAAAACAAAATGTTATATTTATGCTTGGATAAGATAATTCAATTACATTACCCTCAATTCCAAGTTAGTTCCCATTAATTCCCATTATTCCCATGGAAGGTTTCCAATATGGAATATTTCCAAAATTCCCCAGCTTAACTTCCCATGGAAATGTACCGGAAATGTTCCGCCCCTTTGCAACCCTAAGTGTTATAGATAATAATGGTTTGTCACTGTTGCAGTGACCATTACCTTGACATGAAGACTCCTTCCTCCCAAGAATCAAATTAAAACATCTTAGTGTGGCTAAAAAATGAGAATTTTATCAATGAATAACCCATTACAGAACATTCTTAATATGAACAAATTGAATTGAAAGGAATCAATGTCATTTTGATATCACCTTTAGAGGAGGGGAGCTTAATGTAAAACTACAACACATAGGTGTACCTTAACCCCCCCCCCCCACACACACACCACCTAATGGCTACACACTGATGTTCCTCACACACACTCTCATCTGATTTAGGATGAGGTCTGAAAACAAGTAATTTGATTAATATTGCTATGGTAGCTCTGCACCAACACATTCTTTTAGCCTGAACTCATTTTGTGCTTCCGGAATCTGAATATTGCACTTTGGAATTGATTTGGATACAATTTCTATGAATCATGCAGCCATACACAGGATCTATTTAGGATTTAGAAGCTTTAAGAGGTACAACAAAGAAACAAAGCAGCTGAAGGGTTTTCAGGCTTGTGTCACACACAGTCTGTTGACCTGAATACCTCCACACACACACACACACACACACACACACACACACCACACACACACACACACACACAGTATGGGGGTGTTGGACGCTTTGGAACTCCAAAAAGCAGAACCTGGTGTTACTCTGCCACACTGAAACTCTTTTTGCTTTGTCTGGCTTCACAAACACTCACACATGAAATACACACACAGTTTAGTTTAGAAACACCTAATGCAACACAAGATTGAGAAATATTGGACAAACAAGGTGTAGCTTTTTCTATGAGCGGATAGAAAACAGAGCAAGGCTGTGTACTGGCAGGAGTCTGATGGTACGGAATGTATGGTTATGACCAAGCCCCCAGGAAGTGAGCCAGGCATTCAAGCCCATTTTCAAAGTGACTTAAAACTGGGACTCCGACTTCCGTTTCAGCCGCGTGATGCCATTGGGCCCAAAAAGACTTTTCCCCATTGACTTACATTGGGGGAGAGTCGTCTGTATATTAACAGGGTATGTTCCGACCCCATGCAGAACATCCCCCGGAGACCCAGGGTAGGCCATTCTGAGACACTTTGTATAGGAATGAACGGGGCATCCAACCATCCACTTCTCTTTACACATGCATAGTTAAGATTTAAATGAAGTTTTGGTATTCTTTAAGACTATTTTTGGGGCTTTTCATGCTTTTGTTTAAAAGAGAGATAAACAAGAGACAACATGCAGGCCGCTGTGAAAAAATAAATAAAATGATTAGTTGTTGAAACCTACAATCCGTGTATTCAGTCTAACATAGTCTCCTCCTCTCCTCCCTCAGATGACGCTCGTCTGTTCGCCTTCGTCCGCATCACGATGGGAGACGCCATGAGCAAACGGGCCAAGTTCACCCTCATCACCTGGATCGGGGAGAACATCAGCGGGCTGCAGCGGGCCAAGGTCAGCACCGACAAGGCGCTGGTCAAAGAAATCGTGCAGGTCAGGAACTGGGTGGGGTCACATGGGGAGAATGTAGCAATGCATTGTGGGTGTAGAGAGTGGAGCTGTAATGGTCCTCTGGGAGGACTGCTGGGTTACAGAGTGCTGCAGACAGTCACACACAATATGATTCTAACAAACAAACAACAGTCTGAACTCTGGGTTACGGAAGCCCTGAGAGGCAAGTAGAGAAATCAAATCTGTTGATCTATTTTCTGTCAAATGTAAAGTGCTCTCCTGTGGTTATGACTTAATAACAGGTGAAGAAGTTATAGTGCCGGGATAATCTTTTATTCCAAAACAAAATCAAAAACCTTGTTCTGGGTAACTCTTTCCATCTGTGAAAGAAATCAGCAAAATTGGCAGGGGATTTTTATCATGAATATTTTCTGCCAGGATGTTTTTTGCAACAAGAAGCTGAAGTGCATGACTGCCACATATTCAAAATAAGAATAAAACAATCCTGTTTTCCCTTAATTTTGGATAAGCGCCACTTACAGTAAGATTCATCTCGGGCCAAAAGTAAGACATGACAGTCATTTTATTGGCCGATTTGTATTTTTTTTCTCACTTGCCTTTCGCGGCTTCTTTAGTGGAGAAAATGAATAAAGGTGGTAAGAAAAAAAAGTTAGCGTTTTACAACATCCGGTTCCCTCGTTGCAAAGTCAATGGTTTTCTGAATGTGTTTTTGGTTAGATGCCTGAAATAAGCTCTGTGGTTAACACAAACTGAAACAACCATACCGTTTTTTCAACATCAAAGTGTCTGAATAAGTTGCTACCTTGTTTATAATCTGCACAGCTCTCCACTTCGTAACAATAATGCCCAGATTTGATTTTATTATTCCAAGTATTTTGTCATATTATACTAATTGTTTTTTTGGCAAATCTATATTTCAAGTAAATATTTCTTTATCAATTAATGTTAAAAACGTTTTTTATAACTGTTTTATGTTTTTGGTTGTTTTTCTTGCAATCTTTAACTTAGCTGTTTGTGATTCTGATACGTCAGTCATCACCCCACTGGCCTAGCATTTATGCTTCAAATCATAAAGTAGTGTTCAAATGTGGAGTTTATCCTGTTGAACAAAATGTGTAAGTACCATAAATGTTTTTAGCCACCAGTCTTATCTTCGTTAATATTCCAGAATCCAATGGAACAATCCCATTGCTTTTTGTCGATGTTGTCGGGTAGCCTACAAAAGATGTCATAACTGAAGTATGGTTTTGCTTTCTGTACAAAAACCCCTTGTAACATTTCAAAGTGTACCCAGCTCTAATTCGCCCGGTCTGTTCACATTCTGCAACAAATGAAAGTAACTTTGGATTTTTCTTTGGTTTTACAGAACTTTGCCAAGGAGTTCATGTTCAGTGACCCCCGGGAGCTGGATGCTGACAACATCCGCTCAGAGCTGAAGAAGGCTGGGGGGGCCAACTACGACGCTCAGGCCGAGTAGAGAAGTGCCATGTCCACGGGAGGGGTTGGGTGGGGGGGGTCCGTTGTGGTCAGGGTGGGGTGTGGTGGAAAAAGTGGGGCGGGGGGGGTTGGGACAAGGCTTCTACCTCTTGGGGAGAGAGCAAGGCAGGATGGGGGGGGGGGGGGGGGGGGGCTTGACAAAGGGAATGCACGCACAAAGGATCAGAGGTGCAGCAGTCAGTGGAACCAGTCACTCTAATGCTGACTCATAGCAACTCTCTAGAAAACTTCCATTATATTTTTCCTCACTAGTTCCACCGTGTCCTCTCAACAGCAGCCTTAGAACAGATGAGAAACATCTGGTTACTGTAGTTACAGAGTGTATTGGTACAGATGCTGTTGGTGCACCTCTGAACATCTGCATAAGGGCGTTTATATACTTTATTTGAACAGTGTGAGCTGCACTGCTCACCTACTTGTACACACAAAGTACATCTAAGGACAGATAAGGAGCACATTGAAATATCTTCCTTGAGAACCTCACATTTTGCCAACATAAAGAAACGTTAACGTGGTTTCACTTAAGGACGTTACTGTAATAACCCCAGATATAGATGAAAAGATTGACAGGACTTTTTGTCTTTATGATAAATCGTTAGCAGCTGATTAGCTTAGCATACAGAAAGGGAAAAGCTAGCCTGGCTCTGTCCAGAGGAACTACATCTGCCTACCGCCACCTCTAGAGGCACCAATCTCATTTCATGTCTTTTTTGTTTAATCTTTACTAAAACTACAGTGTACAGATGAAAACATGAAGTCACTGTTCCTGACTTAGAGATAGTCCTGCATGCTACCCACTGCTAAATGGCACATTTACACTTTTATAACTGGTTTTTTGTACCATTTGAACAAATGAGATACACTGTATTCATAAATTAACTTTAGAGGTGTGGTGGATATATTCATGTATGTCATAACCAGGCTAACTCTTTCCCCCTATTTTCAGTCTGTGTGCTAATCCAAGCTAATCAGCTGAAGCTTCACATTGAACGGACAGATATGAGAGAGGTATCAACCTGATCATCTGCCCTCAAGGAACAACAAGCTAGCAATTTCCCCAAAATGTCCAACTGTTCCTTTTAGGATCTTATCTAAAACGATATGCTAAAGGCAGAATTGACTGCAGTTCTGTTACTTTATTGGGTGTCTGCATTCACTGGAGTTAAAATCAGTATATAAGCGCTCTTAAAGATCACAACCTGCCTCCCCTCTCCCCCTCCCCCCGCCCTCTCCCCGGTGGTGATTTACTGTGCCGTGCGTAACATCTCAAACTCATCCTCACCTCAGCCGGCTGCAGCTGAGCAATACGAGGCTTCAGCACTGTTCGCTAGGAATCATCTCACGTAATGAGGATGAAGGGTTTCACTTTGAAATGGCATGTGGTGGTGATGGATCATGTTGTTAAAATTGGAAAGGATAGAGGTGTCATTTTGAAAGAAAACTCTTAACTGGCAGGCATGTGTTTGCCACCAGAGCATGCTCTTAGTCATGATACACTGTACCTCCAGGAGGAAGAGATCTCCACTGGCTCACATCCTTGGTGATGGCTGCTGGCTCGCTTTGTCTTGAGTCACATTTAGCCTCCTCTTCATTCTCAGCAGCTGTGTTTGGATTACAGCCCACTACTTCCATCTGGTCCTGAGTCCGCTTGTAATTCAGCCTGTCTGCAGGCCTGTACTCTGTGCTGTGAACTCCTCCTTTCAAAGTCCAAATGTGTCTTTTTGTAAGTGTGATCATATATGGACCTATTTTGATGTACTTCCTTATTCCAGGTTTGTTGGATATGATCGATGTTAGCCGTTTCCAGGGCTGGGGCAGAGTTTGTAGAAGAGTACAGGGCAAAGGCTGAGACTCTTGGAGGCTTCCTGCCTGTAGATATTATGCCATAGAAATACAGAGAACACCTTTTATATCGACCCGTCAGCAGCACTTGTAGTCAAGTATTGAATGTTTTCCAACATATCAAAGGATTGTGAGGATGGAGATCTTTTCCTCTGGTGTTTCATCTCACATCGACCACTAAAGGTGTCCATGCCTATTGTAACCTTCTGTGTTTGGCTGCCTTAGCCTCCCAGGGAGAGAGGGGCATCATGGGAGCTTTTGAACTCTACACTGTGATTGGCTACCGTCCTTACATAGGGGTGGGACTCTGATCTGCTCATGGCTCATTACAACGTGGGCCTGGGTTCATCTCTCCCCCCCCCCCCCCCCCCCAGGAGGAGTCATTTCTCTAGGGTGTAGCATCTCTGTTTATTTGGTTTCACCTCTCCCCCCTGCAAAACAATGGATGTTTTACTTGTACCTTTTATGTTTTTGAGATGAATTTTATTTTCTCTGAAGAGTTTTACCTTATGATTTTATTTTTAAGAGCATTGTTATCTTGATCATTGGCAAAAGAGATTTTCAAAAAAGTAATGCAAAAAAAGAAAGAAGTGGGCACAAGATCAGTCATTTCAAAATAAAAATTGATGTTTTTTCCAAAACCTGCTTCTCAAAGTGTCTTCTGTGTGTCGAATTGCACAAAACCATGAATAACAATTATTTTGGTGACCACAAAGATGTGGGGTTGTGTCCATGCTTGTTAAAGTGTTTCGATTGGCTTAAAGCAAATACAAATGTCCATATGAAAAGAGAGTTCGTCAACATAACAGTAACAGTATATTAGGTTGTCTCCCAATCAGACCTCTTCTGATGTCACATGTCAAATATACCTCTGATTGGCTGTTTGTTTCATCCTTTTCTTAAACGGCTGATCTGGTAGTCGCTGACTACACTTTTAAATGGGTGCAGTCTATCAAGTCAATTTAAATGAAAATGAGTTGACCTACTGCAGAGAGATGGTGTGATTGAAGTTGGACTTGAAGGAGGATTTTACAAAACACTTTTTATTTGAGTTCCTAGTGCACTGCATATGTGAACAAAGCCTTTGTTGAGACCTCTAATAAATAACCATCTGATGCAGTGCACAATCATACACAGATATGATCATCCAGGAAGTGTTGGCTGAGGATGATGAGTGGTGGACATGGTATCTGATATCATCAGGGTTCCAAACATTGGATTGCTAGATGATGCATTTTCTCTTCATCTATGAAACCATCACAAAGGGCTTTTCACTAGCTGAACTGCAGCCAAACAATCATTTACATACAATTACAATCCCTGCATACTATATTAATGCTATTTATCAATCAATGGATATCTTCCCCTTGTAAAGTTAGAGACTCAGAAATGTCAATCACATCCGTGAACAATGCTAAAGGAGAAGCGAGGCTTTTCAATGGTCACTGACCTGGTTATGCTTTCAGAGGAAACTGCAGTGACACGCCCATTGCCTAAGACAATGATACAAAGCATGTGAATAGGTATACGCATACGCAGAGGTTGAAGAAATAAGTAAAAAAAGTATTAGCATAAAGAATACTTTAAATACCAAAGGTAAAAGTACGCAAAAATGGCAATTTTAAGCACCAGAATTTTTTATGTATTTTATTAAATGTATTAAAATGATTGGTGATCATTACTTCAATGTTGTGTTTGTAAAGATGAGGTTTATTTTCAATACTTTATACACTACTCAGTGGCTTAACCAAATAATATATAATAGTAAAATAACAATAAGTGTGATAACCTAAATCTACAAAGTCACTATCAAACTAAATCTGCTAAAAAAAACGTAGTGAGTGAAAAGTGAAATATAAAGATACTGAAGTAAAGTACAATTACCAAGATGTTTCACTTAGTAAATGTAGTTAGTTACACCACTACTTATATGATTGCAAACAAACTAAACAATCATTGCAGGACAGCAAGAAGTGGTTTGAGGTGGACTCAGCCAAGGGCTTCTTCAACTCATTTTCTGAATGTGCTTTTGTATCTGTATGTTTGAGCCATTGTGAAGATGGCTTGCAAAATGATTATAAAATGTGTCACAAAGAAGCTTGAGTAAAGAGGCCCCTCCGTTACGCAGTCTGAAGTGTAGGCTGCCATATTTCATTATTTCATTTCTATCATTTCCTATTGTTACCAATGCAGGGTGAGGTAATGGGAGCATTTAGGCACTCGTGGATTTAAGGTCCACGCAGCAACCGTCTCTGGGGGCTTAAGGGACTCCCGAGGGTTGCCATGGTCACCGCTGTAATCATCATGCTCAGCCAGTCAGCAGTCGGGGGGAAGACAAAATGTTTCTAGTCATAAGATAGTTAGGTCTTAGGCCTCCTCCCCCTGTTGTAGCTTCACCATCCTCCCTGAACTCTAATGTCATGTTTCAGCCATAATCAAATGAATGCATAAGTGATGAAATGTTAGTGAGTGATGTTGTTGGTTACTTATCAAATAAGAACTGATTGTACAGTGACTGATGAGATTAGCTACACTCAGAACATTATCTTTCCCTGGCCTGTATTTAAACAATTCTTCTCTGTACTTCTCAGGATAGGTAAATACATTGCTGATATGTGTGTTACCATTAAACACGGCTTCCTCAAGTCAAAAGGTGTGGTGAGTCCGTCAGCATGACCTCAGAGGCCGGGACACTCAGGGAAATCATCAAAGGCTGGACATTTGGTTCCAATAAAGACGTCTAATTTGCGGGTTGTGTTGTTGCTTTTGATGCTAGGATGTTTGAGGCTAGATGAGTGACGGCTGCTGGTCTGCACCGGGTCATCGATGGCTCCCAGCTGTTCAAACACACACACCATCAGCATGGGTTCCTCTGATACAGCTGTCAGATCACTGGATTAATGGTTGGTCTGCATGACTCAGCTGATCAAACATGACGTCTGCTGAGTATGTGTGTGTGTGTGTGTGTGTGTGTGTGTGTGTGTGTGTGTGTGTGTGTGTGTGTGTGTGTGTGTGTGTGTGTGTGTGTGTGTGTGTGTGTGTGTGTGGTGTGTGTCATGTTAAGAGGTAAATGCTTTTAAATAGACTGCATGACATTTTCTGGAGGTCGGGGAATGGGGATATAATTAAGTGGGAACTGATTTCTGTGATTTCCCTTTGTGCTCAGCTTTCGAGGAATGAGCACAATGGTACTCCATTTCAAAATCCAGCTCCTAAAATGTGTATTAGACACCACCAA